ACATCTGTGCTAAGTTTGGTTTATTCTGTGCAGAGTACTGTCGGTCAAATAGTCATGAAATAGTTGATACGCAGCTTAATATAGTCATGAGAATGATTAGCGGCTGCATCAAGACTACTCCACTATATTGGCTTCCGATCCTTAGCCATATTTCTCCGCCTATTCTACGAAGACAAAAGGCCTTGATAACGGAGTATTTGAAAGTAAATACAGTAAAACCTCCATTAACCGAAATATTTGGGGGAAGGCTGTTTCAGATAACTAGAATTTCTATTAAAATTAACATGGTTTTTTATAGTATACTTGGTCAAAGTATAGATATTAAAAAATACTATGAGCTGACTTCGTAATGTTTTCTAATAAGTAAATACAGACTAAAATAAAGAAAAATAAACAAGATTAAGATGCTTGTTTTAGGGAATTTATTTTTATTTGAGTTTTTATTTGACAACGATGTTTGGAGCTATATTTCTTCACCGCTCATTTGCAGAACGCCATGAGTTTGCCTCATTTGATTGTTTGACGAAACGTAAAGCAATCTGAAAAGGACAAAATTTTATGCAATGACAACAAAAATTAAGAACCTAGTCGTGTCCCTACCTAATTAGGCCTACTGTATAAAATATCTCTAAAGGCGGAAATACACCATTCAATTCGGTTGAACAATGTGGATGATTCAATTATATTGTTCAATCAAATTGAAAAGCATACATATACACGCTTCAATTTATTCTTCATTCAATTCGGTTGAACAATGTTGATGATTCGAAACGTACGTACGGAACTTATTATATCACAAGTCAAAATAACTAAAATAATAAAAATTAAAAAAAAATAATAATAACTCGATGAAATAAACGGTTGAATCGAACACAATCGACAAAACTTGTATAGACGAGCCAATGTGGATGAATCATCCCAGTTGTACAACGAAGTTGAACGAAAGTAGAAATTATCTCAACTCATTTCAACGTTCAATTTTGTTGAAAGCTTTTCTTGAATTGGAAAATACATGGTTCATTTTGGTTGAATCATCCACATTGTTCAACCGAATTGAATGGTGTATTTCCGCCTTACGGCATTGAAAATCTCGTCGGCGGTCTAGTGCTGATTGTTGTCTTGCATTCGGGTCGTCATCTTCGTCGTCTGATACGCTCAGGTTGTCTGGATGAAGAACGATATCAATGAAATCCTGGTCGATGAATTCACTTTCTGAGTCATCGGCTGCTAACCACTGACGTATCTCTTCTTGGTTAATTTCGTCACATCCCGGAAAATGTTTTATTAAAGGTTTAATTTCTTCTGTCGTTTCTTTACCATTTTATTCTTTAGAATCGTCAATCAAAATCCTATCAAAAATTTTGTTTCAGCATTTTTCCAAAGTTGAAGATTTGATCTTGGCCCACGACTCAGCATACCAATAAACAACATGCTTCATTGTTAAATATTTGAGAATTTCGGGAACACTTTTACATTACAGATGTCTTAAGAATGCTCCTCTATAATTTCTCTTGAATGTCTCTATTACTCCCTGGTCTAACGGCTGAATTAGGCTTGTGACATTCGGTGGCAAAAATCTGACAATTGTCACCATTTTGTAGATTTTGAGGGTGAGTTGGCGCATTGTCAAGAAGCAACAATGCTTTGATGGAAAGGGTTTTTGATTTGAAAAAGGATTTTACACTTAGGACGAATTAATTTTCCTAACATTCTGAAAATAAAGTTGTCGACATCCATGAGCAAGTACTTTTTCGGAAATATCTTTTAGAGCTCTTGGTTTTTTATGATATCCCAACACAAATAGGCATCAATCGGTGAGTGAACTTAATGAAATTGTTAGTTTTGCGATAAAAATTTACTTTTTATTGACGAAATTATTGAAACTATCAGCCGTTCGGTTAAACGATGTTTCGGTTAAAAGGGTTTCGGTTAAGGAGGTTTTACTGTAGCAACTTGCAACTACCAATCCATGAAGACATCCCGAGTTTAGCAGCAAACCGACTCCCATCCAGAAAACCACCCATAAGAACCACCCAACAGCTAACAGCAGATGATTTCAATGTTACCTCCAGATGGCGCACGCTGTGGATTGAGGAAGCCCCACATGAAGTATCCAACCTTATTGACCCAGTCCAAAAGCCTGATGGCTTCGACCAGCCACGAAAGATATGGAAGAGCCTAAACCGAATTATAACGGGACATGCAGTATGCGCACACAACCTACATAAATGGGAAAAACAACCTACCTTCAGCTGCGACTGTTGAGCTCCAGATCAAACTATCCAACACATAGTGAAGACATGTAAATTGAGGGCATATCAAGACCAAAAGACTTTTTCAAAACTACGCCTGCAAGTCTTGAATGGATAGCTCAACTTGACTTAAAGATATAATCTTATCTGTTTGTATTATCTTATATTTTATCTGTATTTTGTCTATGTTTGTTTTTATAATCTTATGTTTGTATTTTTGAATTATGTACTTACGTTTTCTACAGTTATAGTGTATTTTTATGTATGAGAGAGTAATTAAAACAATAAATTATGTATACAAATCCCTAAACTGTTGATACGGGTGACTCAATGAAAAACAGATATTTGTCAACAAGTTTACAGAAGTATATAGGAAAACAATTTTAAATTGAGTATGACCACCAGGTATAAAGGTTGGAGCAGAATAGAATACAATAGTTGTGAGGGTTACTAATCCCTAAATAAGGTTGCCAGTGTCGGAGTGATGGAGGTTAACAGGTACTAATGAATTTGCAAGAAATGTAAGATGTTTATTTTATTGGTTATATATAACCAATAAAAGTTTAATAAGTACCTACCTATTTGCAAAATAAAGTTTAATTCTTTAGATAAAATAAAACGTTTTATTTTATCTGAAATGAGTGCATTCCACGAAGTAAGGGTTTCAACAATCAAACATTTAATTCTTTAATTCCAGGAATCTACGACAGTAATTGACTAGATAATTACCTTCTAAACTTATTCCACAGAAAATGTGATAGTGGGTTTTTCCATTTTGTAGGAAGGTCCAAGTGGCGTATTCAAAATTCTTAACAGTTCACTAAAAGTAGGTACTTCAGTTGCAAGGTGCAGTTTATTGTGTATACTAGTGTTGGAAAGAGTGTTATACCCGAGAAATGTGGTAGTTTTCAAATGCCACGTAATGCTCCAGGGAAACCAAAATTTCAAATAGAATATCATTTTAAAGAAGGACTTCGACGGAAAGTGCATGAATTCTTCTTTAGACAAGAATTTCCAACATTGGATAAAGTTCTTGTCTCAGTTCGAGATGATAAGGATTACCCAGAAATGAGTCGAAGTACGTTATGGAAACTTTTAAAAGAAATAGGCTTCCGCTGGAAAAAGAATCCCAGAAAGTCTATTTTATTAGAAAGAAGCGATATTGTCATATGGAGAAGACATTTTCTAAGAACCATAAAGGAAATGAGAAACCAAAAAGAAAAATATTTTATCTTGATGAAACATGGATCAACGAGGGTCATACACCAAATAAATTTTGGCAGGATGAAACTGTTACAAGTCAAAGGCACGCTTTTGTAAATAACTTATCTACTGGTTTAAACCCACCATCAGGAAAGGGACGCAGGCTGATAATAGTACACATTGGCAGTTCAGACGGTTTTGTTGAAGGTGGTTTATTAACTTTTGAATCAACTCGTACCGGTGACTACCATGAAGACATGAACGCTGATGTCTTTCAAGAATGGTTCGAACAAATGATAGATCTTCTTCCTAAGAACTGTGTAATAGTAATGGATAATGCAAGTTATCACTCCAGACTTATAGAAGGACTGCCCACAACCAAGTGGTTAAAAAAAGACTTGCAGAATTGGCTGAGTTCAAAAAATATTACGTACCATCCCGGATCTATAAGAAAGGAACTTTATTCGTTGTGTGCCCTTCATAAAGAAAAATTTAAAAAATACGAAATTGATGAAATTGCCAAAAATCGTGGAATGACAGTACTTAGATCCCCACCATATCATTGTGAATTAAACCCGATTGAACTGGTATGGGCACAGATAAAGAGTGAAGTTTCAAGAAAAAATACCACTTTTAAAATTCATGATGTTAAACAGTTGTTTTTGGAGGCCGTAAATAATGTAAAACCTGAAAACTGGGAAAAGGCAGTAAATCACACTATTAAAGAAGAGGAAAAAATGTGGAAGCTGGACAATATTACTGATAAAATGATCGAGCCAGTTATTATAAATCTTGGTTCTGAAAGTTCATCTTCTGAATCTGATTTGGATTTGTAACAAGTAGCTGTAAGTTTTATATTAATATTTTTATTCATCTATTTAACATACCTTAGACGGTTTTAAAAACTCTTTTTCTCTTTTGTAATTTTTAAAAATTAAAAAAAATGTGAATTTTTTAAAACCCTTTTTAATGTAGGCCAGTCAGTTCTAATATAGTGTGTGATAAAAGAGGTCACTTTTGTTTACATACACATAACACTTTATAACACTGAAATAATTCATTTATTTTTTACAATTATTCAAAGTAATTTTTCAATTAATCTTGAGCACGCCCATAGAGTGGTCAGAGGTACCAGTTAAAATTATGCTAATTACTCTCTCGTTCATAAAAATAAACTATAATACTGTATTTACTTCATGTATTGATCCATACGCTAAATAATAAATATAAAAAAATAACAACTTTTATGTATAGTTTCTAGTTACCACTGTAGCATACTGTATATCTCTTAGTTTAGTATCGAAGAATACATTTAAAAATTAATATTAATGGGTTTTTCTTAGGACGCAAATTGAATAAGTGCACTGACTCACTAGTTTAACAGACCATTGCAAAATTATAGTGTTATTATTCAATCAAGGTAATGCAATACTTAAAACTACAAACAAAATTCATTCAAGTTGGTACTGTACCGATGTTTGTGAGAAAAGCAAAGAACCTATATAATATAAATAGCAGTTGATTTTGTAATTTTGTTCAGCAACAATGGTATCGAAATTATTACTTACGGTGATTGTGGCATTCATTGCCTACGTGCAAAGTGAAATTACAGTAAAGGTTTACAACGATTATTGGAAATCAGAAGAAGCAGTTATTCCATTAATAGAAAACCTAAAGAGTGTTATCTCCAATGGAACCTACAGGGTGGAAATTGAAAACCAAACCATTCCTAAATTACCTAGAGGAGTGTTAGAAGGTGTGACTATCACCGAGCTAAAACTCAAGCATAACCAATTAAAAGAAATTGAGCCCGGTGCGCTGCAAGGAGCCCACGTCATTAGAATTTACTTCGATCACAACGACATTGAAACTGTCAAAAAAGGCGTCTTCAACGATAGGTCATTGTGGAAGCTTGGTCTATCCAACAATCAGATTTCCACCATCGAGGATGATGCTTTCGACACATTGGATGTAAATTCTTTAGACCTGAGTGGCAACAACCTTGAAAAAGTTACAGCAGGTATATTTCATAATACTAAAGTTGAAAGCTTATATTTGAACAATAACAAAATTAAAAAAATTGAAGTTAATGCTTTAAATCAAATACCAAGCCTATCTTACGTTAAACTAAGTAATAACCTTATTAAAAATCTTGGAGAAATTTTCTCTAAGTTGGATACTGTAACTAATCTGGATTTGGCCAACAATACAATTGAAAGTCTTCAACCAAACAGTTTTGCTGGTTCCAGGCTTAACGGATTATATCTTCAAGATAATTATATAAAAGAGTTAAAAACAAACTCTTTTAATGGCCTAAATTTAAATTTTTTAAATCTTAGTAACAATCAGATTTCGTCAATAGACAGTGATGCTTTAGCTGATCTGCCAGGACTTTACTCGATTATTCTCTCACACAATAATATCGGAAATTTAAAACCAAAATTCCTTAAAGGTATAAACTCACAACAAACAGTTTTGTCTTTAGATAATAACAACATAGTTGATGTAGAGCCTGGATCATTTGACGAAATTGTTATTAAAGAATTGAGGTTACAAGAAAATAAAATTGAAATTATTAAGAAAGGAGTATTTAATAAAAAAAAATTTAATTCAGTAAATTTAGGAAGGAAACAAAATTTCAAGAATTGAAGATGGAGCACTTGAAGACTTGGTGTTGAACAGTCTTACGCTCTCCGAAAATTCACTTAGTGCTCTCACAAAAGAAGTTTTCTTTGGAGCTAATATCAGTACTGTTAAATTGGATAAAAACCAAATTAGTAAAATTGAAGAGTCTACTTTCCATCAAATTAATGGACTAAAAATACTAGACCTTAGTAATAACCGAATTGAAGATATTACAAATCTCTTTAGCCATTTAGATTATCTGAACGATCTTAACTTGGACAACAACTTAATTAAAGTACTTAAACCAAACAACTTTGCAGGTTCAAAAATATCTACTCTCTCTATTAATAACAATCAGTTGGTCCAAATTGGTAAGGGAGTTTTTAATGGTGTTCCATTTAAATCTATCTCTCTTATTAATAACTTAATCTCTACAATCGAAGATGGCAGTTTTGCCAATATAGAAGAACTTCGTAACTTAAAACTTGGAAGCAACAAAATTGGCGATTTGACTCCTGCTTCTTTGGGAACACTAAACAACAAGGAATTAGAATTAAGTCTTGACAATAACAGTATTTCTAATATTGAACCCTATTCATTCAGCAAAGTTACATTACTGTCATTAAAACTTCACAACAACTCCTTAACAGCTATTAAAAGAGATATGTTTAAGGGCGCAGAAATCGGTTTCATTAGTTTGCCCAAAAACCAAATTTCTAGCGTAGAAGAAAACGCTTTTGAAGATGTTAAGGGACTGAATTTAATTGATTTAAGCTTTAACAAACTACACGTGAAAGTTAGTTCCAATTCAAAACATATCAACTTGTTTGTTACCCCTCGAGCTGCTTTGAGCAAATACCATAGTGAAACTTTAAATAATCTGATTCGGGCATCACAAGGAAGTCTAGTCGATTTTTAAGTAAAAAAATATAAATTTAAGACTGCTTGTATATTTAACACTTATACAGTGCTTTTCAGATAAAACTATCCACCTTAAATAACTTTTGAACCTCTAATTTTTTGGAAAAACGCAAAAACACTTTAATTAATATCTGAAGGGGGAGGCATAATATCATATTTAAGGTTGCTGGAAAATGCACCCTCTCACCCCCTGTATCAACCCTTTATTTTTTTTAAATTACTTCCCCTTTTTTTATTTTATATTTGGATTCTCCTTTTTGTACTGATTTCAGAAATGTATAATACATGATACTTGAAGTGATTAGTTTATGAGAAAAGTAAATACAAAAGCAAGAAAATTGGATTGAAAAAAAATTATTTTCCGCAAATCGCCAGGAAATTTTGACATTCCTGTCAAAATTTCTTGAAGAAAAAGTCAGGACTTCCTTACTGTAAGGAAATGTCATTTCCTTACTGTAAGGAAATGATATTTCCGTACAGTTGTTAGTGTTCTACATAAATGATAGAAAACACATTGCTTATAAGGAATTAATTTATATTTTGAAAACATCAAGTCATTGCTGAATACATTTTTAAGATCAATTTGTTATATTTACAGTAATTTGACAGTTAGTACAATTATTGAACATTGGAGGAACACTCTTAGAACTATGAGAAACATTTTGGACAACATGCAGGGTGGAAGTGTCATTTTGTTGAATATTTTGTACTGTGAAAATTTTATTTGCCACCTCAACCTTATTGTTAAGCGATTCTTCGATATATCCTTCAGCAACGTTTGATGACTTCCATCCGCCATGCCTCTTTAAACTAGTTATGTCGGCACCAGAGTCAACCAATATTGTTGCAGAAGACCGACGAAAGCAGTGACCAGTATATTCTGTCGGATTTACCAAGTTCAAATAAGTAGCAATTATTTTGGGCATTTTTCTAAATTGATGAATTCCTACCACTTGTCTACAACCCTTTCCGCTTTGATATTTAAAGAAAAATCGGTCACTGTTCATATTTTCTGGTCTTAACGAAACATACTTTCGATAAACATTCAAGTAGATCTGATTAATTACAAATGATCTTGGTTTGTTGGTTTTCGAATCAGGTATGCTGATTAAAAGCTTAGATTCTAAGTCTTCTATATCGTGTACAGTCATTCGGACTAACTCATCCATTCTACAGGCCCCAGAAATACCAAATATTACAGCCACCTAAAAAATAAATAAAGCTATAATCTAAATAGAAATTAAAACCTTGTAAATTACCTTAATCATTAAATTTTCTTTATCTGGAGCTTCCTGGATAAATTTTTCAATTTCTTCCTTCGTTAAAATCTTAGATTTCTTTGCCCTATAACCTTGAGCTTGCCGTTTCAATAAAGAACGAAGTTTTGAGTATGTAGATATATCTACATTGTGTTTAAGTGCAAGGGTTGACTTCAGCATTGAATAATTGGCCCATAATGTTGAAGATTTCATCTTTAAACAAAGGTCTAGGAAGTATGCCATTACAACATTTTCTGAGAAAGAACTCGTATTTTTACTCATGCGATAATCCATAAAACGTCTGTATGCATTTTCGTACTTTTCTCTTGATTTCTTTGGCAATAATTCTAATGAAGCAGTATTCACTGCCTCAACCAGCTCTGGAGGAGTCCCAGGAATGGAAATTTCATCATCACTTATCATTTTACTTTCGAGAACACCAGCAATTAAATTTATAAGCGTCAAGTTTGACAATTCAACCTCAATACGTTTCCATAGTAACCCAAGTAATTTTATTAGGAATTTCAAAGCACCATTTATTTGGGAATAAAATTATCGCGTTTTTTTTTAAATCAATCAATATCTGTCGAATTTTAAACGATTTGCGGAAAAATAGTATGTTTACCTCGTAGGAAAAGCCACATTCCTGGACTCTGTGTTGCTAAGTCTCGGCTTGCGCCTCGACTTAGCAATCTTCACAGTCGTCCAGGAATGTTAAGCTTTTCCTACCCGGTAAACAATGTACTATTTTTAACAATTTTATTACACACAGTTAGAACAACATTTCACTACTAAAATTTTTACAATAATTGTTCAAAATGACTGCCTTTCACTTCCATACAATAGTACAATCTATTTTGAAATTCTTCTCTGACATTGCTTAACACGTCTGCATTTAATTGTCGACATTCATCCTCTATTCTTTGTTGTAAATCATCTAGATATTCTGGTTGAGTAGCATAATTTTTGTTTTTAAATACTCCCATAAGAAGAAGTCTAGGGGTGTTCAATCCGGTGACCTAGGTGGCCAATCGATCATCTGTCGTCTTTTACCTATCCAAGGACCGGGAAACGTTTCGTTTAAAAATTATCGCACAGGTAAAGCAAAGTGTGGAGAAGCTCCATCATGTTGAAATACAACCAAATCATCGGAAAGGTTATCATCATTTGCTACTATTGTTCTAACGATCAACCACTTGCCTATATAATTCAAGATACGATGCACCATTTAAGTTTCCAGTGATAAAGAAGGGTCCGATAATGTGATTACGTAGGATACCACACCATACGTTTAACCTTTGAGGATGCTGTGTGTGAAATTCGCGTACAATATGTGGATCACTCTCAGCCAGTATCGGCAATTATATCTGTTCACTAAACCGTTTAATGAGAATGAGCATTCATCCTAGAAGCAAATATTGTTTAACAATTGTGGATTGTTAATGATGCATTTTATCATTAATTCGCAACATTCGGGACGACGATCAAAATCTTCTTCATTTAACTCTTGTACTAATTTAATTTTATATGGATAAAACTTAAATTTATGGAGGACTCGGAAGGCTGTAGAAGATGAAACACCGATTGCTCTGCTTATTGTTGACAGTGACTGTGATTGTTAAGAGTCTAAGTTAACTTGCCCTAAAACAGCTACTTGGATTGCTTTTTTATTTACAAGTTCCTGTCGGTTATGTTTTTTATTGCAAACTGACCCTCTTGATCTAATTTTTTCTGCATCAGTTCAATCACACACTTATGAGTTTGCATGTCTATTGTGGTGTGTTTCATTAAAAATTCTAGCAGCAGCTCTTGCACAATTATTATTTTTGTAGTATAAACCTACAATTTCGATTCTTTCTTGCAAAGTGTACACCATTTCAGCGATCAAATTGCACACGTATCAAAATAAGCTGTTACTTACAAGTTATAACAAATTGTCGCTATTAACCGATTAAAACAAATGTAAAAATGATATCGAAAACCTTTGATAAAACTTGAATAAAAAGTGAATTTTTTTGTTTCTTGGTTTTTAAAGGTACTACAAATAGTACGGTTAAATATTTAAAGAGTTTAAATTATGCTACAACCTATTTTGTTAGAGTCAATTAAGGTGAGGTGAGATACTGTCTTGTTAACAGGAAAATTGTCTATCTGATAAACTAATCACTTCAAGCCAAAGGTATTATACATTTTTGAAATCAGAACAAAAAGGAGAATCCAAATATAAAACAAAAAAAGGGGGAAGTAATTTAAAAAAATAAAGGGTTGATACAGGGGGTGAGAAGGTGCATTTTCCAGCAACCTTTAATATGATACTATGTCTCCCCCTTCAGATATTAATTGACGTGTTTTTGCGTTTTTCCAAAAAATTAGAGGTTCAAAAGTTATTTAAGGTGGATAGTTTTATCTGAAAAGCACTGTATAGTTTTACTATAGAAAAGGCATATAATAACAATACTGCTATATTTCTATTCTGTATATTTATAATTTTCTAAGCAAAATATTTTGATTTACCAAAAAAAATTTTCAGATAATAATTTTCCTATGAAAATAGTAAATGTATATATAAATATTATCGTTTTTCTTAGTTTAATTATAATTCAATGATAACTGAAAATTACATTGATCAATGTGTCTGTTTATGTAATTATTTCTTAAATATTTATAAATGTAAGCAATTATTACATATTTATTATTTTAAAAATAATGCGATCTTGTTTGTATTTTATATTAAATAAAAATTGTGATATCAAAATTGTTGCACAATTTTTTTACACATTTAAATTATCATGTACCTAACCTTTTTTTCTGTCTTTTTGTATTAAAAATTGTATTTTCTTTTGAATATACAGGGTGACACAATATACAGTTTTTTAATCTAAGTTTCTAAGATTTTAAAAATATTTGTGTCTGTGACCAGAATTTGTAACAGCAAAGATCCTGATGGGTTTAACACAAAAATTATTAAAACAAGTTTTAGTTTCAGTCAATGTTTTGTAATACTTATCCTCAAGTTTTCAAAACTGCAAAGGTAGTACCTCTGTTTAAGAATAAAGGCTCTATTGATGATTATAACAATTATCGACCCATTTCTTTTTTGCCCATCTTATCAAAAGTTTATGAACGAATTTTAAAAAATCAAATTAATCTACATTTTGACTCTAATAACCTGTTTGCCATAAACCAGTACGGATTCCGAAAAAAATAAAACAACAACTTTAGCTATTGATCATTTCACTAGCAATGTTTTGGAAGGGTTTGAGAAATATCTTGATACTCTTGCATCGTTTTTAGATCTTACTAATGCTTTCGATTGTGTCACACATAGTATTGTGCTTAGAAAACTTCCTTATTATAATTTTCATAGTGATGCTATTCAACTAATTCATTCATATCTTTCAAATCGTGATCAATATGTTCACTTCAACCAGTGTGATTCTCAAAAACAATCTCTGTTGTTTGGTGTCCCTTAAGGCTCGGTTTTATTATTATCTATATTATCGCACATGTCGATAAGTCGCACATGTCGAACTAGAGACGAGTTTCTCACCACAGGTATAAGACTCTATGCAAATATCGCACACAAATTCTATAAAATAAATTAGAAATGTCCGGG